AAAAAAAAAAAACGAGGTAAAAAAAAAAACGGTAACCTGGTTGCCGAGTTCACGAAGTGAATTGGCTTGTTTTACAACGTCGTTGCCAAGCGACGAAAACCCAATCCCGATGGCAAACACCGAGTGGGGGGCTTGTTTTACAACGTCGTTGCCAAGCGACGAAAACCCAATCCCGATGGCAAACACCGAGTGGGGGGCTTGTTTTACAACGTCGTTGCCAAGCGACGAAAACCCAAACCCCGATGGCAAACACCGGGGCGGGGGGGGCGGGGGGGGGGGGTATTTCTGGGCCATCGCCCCTCTGAGGAGTTTTGAATGAAATCCCTACCTAAGACAGCAAAGTACGGTGAAACCCTGATACTACCACGTTTGTACTCCAACCTTCGAGGGGTGGTCGAATAGAGCCCTACTAAAACACAAAAAAAACAGACCTTAGCCGGGGACGGTTCATCACCATCCTCCCCCGGAAAAAAATCCACCACGATCAACTACGGATGGCGCCGATTCACACTCCAGTCGCCCTTGATGTACAGTAGTGTGATGGGTGGATTGCTGTGTGAGTGCACGATATCAGCATGTAAGTCCTAATAACAATTGAAGGTGAGATGATAAAAAATTCGATTGAAACGGTTTACGAAGGAAACCACCGCGTGAGGCCTTCTCGCGAGAGGCAAAACTCCGTGTGTGCGGCTTTCCTTCTTTGTGCCCCCAAGTACAGTGCAGAGCCTAGGTCCACAAAAATGGAACAAATAACACAAAACGCCCTGCGCCCGTGGACCTTTGTCTCGCTCTCAGGGTGGCCCTTGTCAAAAAAACGTTGCGTCCTATTGTAGTTTTCATTTCGGATTGGCTCTACACCGCGTATAGGCGGGGAAATCGAAGTAGAAAATCTATCAAGACGCGCACATGCCCGTGGCGATTATTGAAACCATGAATGACCACGGGAGCCATACGGCATCCAGACAGCGAACGATAACTCCGAAGCACGGCCATGGTCAGACGGATTGGAGATCTCGGTCTCGCATCGATATGAGAACTCCCTCAGCAATGTGTGATTGGATGCTGCGCCCTGATGTAGGAAAGCCGAACAAGCTGCCGTTGACGCGTTGACAAAAAACGAATATCACGGCGACGACCCTCTCTCTCTCGACTTCGGGCAGATCTCGCTCAAAGAAAGTCTGCTGGATGTCAGATTTCTGCCAAGGTCGTGCTTGCATCGTCAAGCAGTCTCTAGGAGGCTAAAGAGGCAATTATCGAAACGAAGGCATGCCCGATTTGCCGAGGGTGTGGCAACGCGGCTTGATGTTCCGGCTGGCATTCTTATTTTATTTTGGAGAATGTTCGTGCTCGCTATTGATTTCACCATTTCGATAGAATATCGCACAACAACCCCCACGTCCACAATCCAGCGGCAGAATACTGGCGTGTTGTCCAATCAGCGACATTTCTATTTTCGACGGCAAACTTGTCTGGTACCGACCACCCGCGCAGAGACAATGAACAAGCCCAAACAAGCAATGGCGGACTCCAGCATGACCCTTTCAAATCGCAATTTGTCTTTCATCCGGAGACATGCTGGCAAACGAGTGCTTGAGGCAACGTGGCAAGCGGACGCACAAAAAATCCTGCACAGTTTCAAAATATGAACTTGACGCGGTTGGACCGCGCTGAAGAAAGGACGCAGCCACTCAGCCCTTGGTGCAAGGCCAGGAGGTCCGCCTGGATATTGCCCTCGTGGACATGACGGAATGGGCGTGTACGGATTTAGTGAAGGGTCCTAATGACTGACAACACATAAGTCGGTACGTTAGGTTTTCCGGAACGACCGCAGGGCAGAATGTCGCAACCTGGGTGTTGCTTCCGATTTTTCGAAGTACCCCCGCTCAAATGTCTCATTGCGGCTCCATTCTTTGACGACTCCTATCGAAAGGTAGGCGGGCTCAACAACCATAGAGCGGCAGCAGCGCTGAGGACTCGCATCACATACATGATGAATCCGAAAAAATAAGTGTGTGGGAGGTCCCAATGCTTTCTGCAGCATGGGGCCGTCGATTTGTGTTCCTTCATGAGGGTAACCTCGCCGCATTTTTTTAAACGACGCTTTGTGAATCTGGCACGCATCACTCACACACCATCCTGAGCGGCACCCGAGCCCGAACACTCACAAAGCACCGGGAGTGGGTATTACGTAACAGCCGAACCGAACAATCAGCACGTTCGAGGGAGGTCTTGGTGTTACTGCTGTACTCATCGAATTGTTTCCGATTTCGTTCATGTGATGTGTGATAGAAAAAAAAGGCAGCTCCCCGCAATGCCTTGGTGTGGACAAACAAGCGATTGCACGCTTCTGCCACTCAAACATCTTGCTAGCGGTCTCAGTGATGTTTAGCGTGCGCGGTGTGCCTGCGCGATCCTTTTGTCAACTCTCCCGATCATTGGAAGGAGCACGCAGATATTTTTTGGCCCTCGCTCTTTTAACTGACCCGGATAGAAAAGGGGAGAAATGACTCAGTATATCTGCATAGAAAAACCCGTTACACTATTTTAGATTGACAGGAACGACACCTAGATTTCCATGTGTTAGGTGTCTTGTTGCGGTGTGCTTGGTTGATACGGTTTGCAACTTTCATACCAATTACGTGAAAACATCTCACATCCCGCGTGAACCTCCACCGCACATGCGTAAAATGAGTGGCGCTCAACTGACACCGTCGCCACATGTCAAAGGTTCGCAAGAATACGAATACGCGGTTACGGGAGCTCCAAAAGAGCTCGATCTTGATTTGGGGGTCGGTGCGATCTCACCGACCCCTGTGCAGAAATTGGAACAAATCATGTCGTTCTGTGTTGTTTGGCGCACCCCCGTGCCATCTCCCCGCCTCTACTCCAGTCTCGTCAATCGTTGTTTCTCGAGAGATCGTCAGAACGCACGGAATGCCGCGCCGTGAGCTACGTTCATGACTGGCGTTCAGAAAAGACAGAGTCATACCTATTGGGACAACAAGGTCCAGATGTGGATTGCAGCCCAAAACATCACCTCTTCTCCTTCTTCCCATCCAGGTTCAGCGCCATGGCAGGAGTATATTCCCAACATTGATGCCGGAAAAGGGGCAACTTGATGGATATTCTCCTCTCCCAGTTCGAGTGCACGATAAATGGGCAAGGCCGACACCTGGGGCAATGGAGTAAAAGACGCCCAACTTATTCCTTGACGAAAAACGACAAAGAAAATATTTCGATCCTAGCGCTTGCATGAAGGTGTCAAAATGAACGCGGCGAGCAGTCTCTTCATACCCTTTACCTCAGGAGCGCACACGTTGGATGACACGTTCCTTTGAGTAGCGAAGGTCAATCGCCGTCGTCGAAACTCCTATTGGAAGCGAGAGGGATGAGAGGGGGCGATGATCAAGCGGTCAGATGCAACGGACAGGTTCCTTTCCAAAAAATGAAACCTTAGAACTAACCCATCAAGCATTGCTCTTGCATACCCATGTATACCTGGTGGATATACCGACTTTCATACCTATGTACAAAGTCTCCCTTCGGGACGTGGGTGTCTAGCCTCCCGCGGGTGACGCAAGACCACATGCGCATTGCCCGAGAAGGGGCGGTGTGCCCTACTTGGATGGGCAGTTATATAGCGCTCGTATTCCGTACAAAACATCGTGCACGTACTGTTGATATTCTACATTGGAGCCAGCTCGAGCGGACCACAGCTTGCCACAGCGAAAAAAATCAGACCTCTAAGATGATTGTGATTGATTGACGTATATATTTCAAACTCGCGTTCATGGTTCCTTGGTATGTATTTGGCTATTTCTGTCCCGAACTATAGTTCAGGAATCTCCGCGGAAATCGCATTCATATTTCGAACTGGGCTCCCGAATATCTCTGGGCGAGGGGGCCTAGATATTGACTGTTCCAGGTTGGAATTCCACTAAACATGACGTGTACTCCGACTCCTGTGCGCGCACCTTGCTGCGCGCGCATATGCATACACAACTGCGCCACACCTCACTCAAACGGCACGACGTTGTAGAGGGAGACCAACTTGAAGACACGGGTTACCTGTGGTCAGCGAAATGGCGTGAATACGCACGCCTGTGCATAGGCTATGTTGTGGGTGGGATGTGTTGCAACAGAGAGGTATGTAGAGCGAGCGATGCACGCGACAGACACAGCAGCGTGAGCCTTTTTTCTCCGCCTGGGCAGCTGAATGAAGTATGTACCACATGCACGTATACATGGGCGGACACAAGACACATGGCGCACTGCAACACACAACAGACAACAGACACGCACAACCTGCGCCTTTCAGGAGATCCCTCTCACAATAGGTGGTAATGTGCTGGTGGCACAAAAGCGAAGCCTCGATGAATCCCAGATTTTGAGCGAGAGAGGATCTGGACGAAGATAGACTGCGAGGGCGTCTTCTTGCGTGCTCACGTTGCCCTAAGAGGTCCGGGACTGCGGGTCTAGAGATCGTCCTCGCCCCGTGGGAGGTCTTGGGTCCGTTCTCTGTCGTTCTTTGCCTCTGACCGAGATTGTCAGCTGCTGCTTCATGCACAGCAGTGGGTGACAGGAACGGCTAGCCGGCTCACGGGTGGAGCCGTTGGGTTTGTAGGTTGAGTGTTGGTTGCTGTGCTGCTGTAGACGGAGTAAAGCATTGCTCATCATCGGCGATATCTCACGCAGGGGCGGAACCACCTCCGAAGTAGAAGCCGTAGACTAAAGGCTTGCACTCAGGTAGCTGATAGTGGTTGCAGCCGGGGTCTGTTTCGGCACGGGTGTGTTTTTGGTTGTGTTGTGCCCTCGTGCAAGCTCTCTTCCATCACGGGCGGAGGTACAAACACCCGAAGATCCTTCCTGGATAAATTTGTAATCGGGCCAAAACACCCCTCTGAATATTTACTGAGGATAGAAGATCCAGCGCGATAGTTTGGTGGTTCGGGAATCTCCGCGCGGTATTTTAAACTCAAATCCTCGGGAATCCCGGGAATCCAGTCAAATAAGGAATCTCGAGTTTGAAATACGTCAGATGATGGCAGATTTCCATCAATCGATGAGAATCAAATCTGTCCGGAACAACACCACAAACAAAACAATGTTCAATCAACACGGCGGGAGTGCATGCGCTAAGACCTGTCCACAGCAGCAGCAGCGACGTTTCACTTGGCCCGCTGGGAAGTATAACGGCAAACGTAGGTACTGTTGCACATTGGGATGACACGAAGAGTCACAGCGATGAGGAATCAGCGAATCAATGATGAATGGATGTAGAGATGAAAGAGGCAAATATATTATTTCAAACTGTCGTTATTGATGGGTTTCAGAATTGGTTCGGCGGCCTCGTCGTAGCGGAACGCGTCCCCTGGGTTTTGAGCCATTTTTCGCGACTTTGACCGTCAACCACACGCGCCACGGATGCCTGCCGAGCTCCGGACACGGGCGTTAATGTACCGACGAGCCTTTTGCGTGCCCTTGAGAAGGAATCACGAGAAAAGACTCGCTGGGGCGAGAAAAAAAAATGCCGAGGCATGAAAAATGACCAAATTTTACATGTACAACTGTACCGAATCTACAACGGTTGGGGCAAAAAACATATCGACCGTGACTGGTTTCGGTCGGATCTCTGAAAGAGCACTTTGAGCTTGACCTGAAAGAAGGCACCATGGTCTGTTTCATATCGTTATCTTGAGGGGATTCAAGGCGAGATTCCAGCTAAACCAACTCCTCGTCCCAGGGGAACCCACTCTGGGCGTCGACGGAAAAAGGACGAAAGAGTACTTCTCCGCGTCCCAGTGGGACAGCAACAAAGGCAAAGGGTCATGTATACATAACTTCAAACCGGTACATAGACAAGTACAGCTGCCTAGAGCAAAGAGACGGGATCAAGAGCTCTGTAGGCACAGATCTGGATCCACAGACCTGGAAACACACCTACCCCCGTGGCAATTTCCCGTAATACCCATCCACACGCGTTTCGGCGATAAGCAGTTCTTCGACTAGATGCCGTGGGTAGCAGCGATTCCCCCGTGCGCAAGAGAGATGAACAACAGCAAGTCCACTCTGATCCCTTACGTATATGAGGATTAGCAACGTCCAAATCCATACTGAGTGTTGACAACGAGCACTCAGCAACACGAAGAGCGCAGAAACAGCGAGGGGGGGGGTGTACTCATAGTCGTGCATGCCGTAGTCGTTAGACCATTGACCTCGCATCCCTACAAATCCGGGACGGAGCACGCCGGGTTCTCACCGGACCACGCTCTCACATCACCAAGCGCGAAGCGCCGTGAGGTATTCGGCGAGTCGCATGAAGGGTGCGCTGCATCCTGCTAAGGGTGTTCGGCATCTTGTACTTACTTCCTTGCGCGGATGACAGCTGCGTATGACTTAATTTATTCTCTGGTGCTTTCACTTCCAGAGACAGTTTGAAGCTCTGTGTAACTGCCTCGAGGGTGCTTGACCAATTTAACACAACGTGGTGCGATCATCCCCCGTTGCGCGGAGTGAGGGTTCTCGACCCCGCACAACATAATCTGCTCGACCACCATTCATGGTTACCGCAAAAAAAAAAAAAGGCAAAAAAAAAAAGCGGTAACCTGGTTGCCGAGCTCACGAAGTGATCGGCTTGTTTTACAACATCGCTGCCAAGCGACGAAAACCCAACCCCGATGGCAAACACCAGGGGGAGCGGCCTGTTTTACAACGTCGTTGCCAAGCGACGAAAACCCAACCCCGATGGCAAACATCGTTGCGCTACAGGGGGGGGGGGGGGGTGTACTCATAGTCGTGCATGCCGTAGTCGTTTGACCATTGACCTCGCATCCCTACAAAGCCGGGACGGAGCACGCCGGGTTCTCACCGGACCAGGCTCTCACATCACCAAGCGCGAAGCGCCGTGAGGTATTTGGCGAGTCGCATGAAGGGTGAGCTGCATCCTGCTAAGGGTGTTCGGCATCTTGTGCTTACTTCCTTGCGTACGGATGACAGCTACGTATGACTTAATTTATTTTCTGGTGCTTTCACTTCCAGAGACAGTTGTAAGCACTGTGTAACTGCCTCGAGGAAGCTTGACCATTTTAACACAACGTGGTGCGATCATCCCCCGTTGCGCGGAGTGAGGTTTCTCGACCCCGCACAACATGATCTACTCGACCACCATTATGGTTACCGCCAAAAAAAAAACCAGAGGTAAAAAAAAAAGACGGTAACCTGGTTGCCGAGTTCACGAAGTGAATTGGCTTGTTTTACAACGTCGTTGCCAAGCGACGAAAACCCAATCCCGATGGCAAACACCGAGTGGGGGGCTTGTTTTACAACGTCGTTGCCACGCGACGAAAACCCAAACCCCGATGGCAAACACCGGGGGGGATCACAGGGGGGGGGGGGGGGAATATCGCACACGCTCGTACCCACCCCCAGGGACCCGTGCGTGTTTCTATATCGTCTGCATGCCCATTCTCTCGCCAGACCCCTTCAAGCAACGCGAAAATGATGCTCTGGCATCTCTACATCTGCTGTCTTCTTCGCTACACGTTGACTCAATCATCCTGAAGGAGCCAACATCGATCGATTGTGAAGCAATCATCATCAATCACTTTCAGACAAAATCAACACACGCTCGTTCGAACGATGAATGACCCGCATAGGTTCTCTGGGCGGAAAATCTGCTTGCGGTTGTTTCTTTGCTGGGAGAGGTGCGACATGGTGCGCGGCCCTCCCATGCACCGACACACAACAACCGCGGGTTTCACATATTTGCGGGCTCCGCCAGCGAAATTCAACTGCATATCCCGCTGTGCCGGTACAATCATTTTTTGCCCGGATCTGAGGACAGTATCCGAGCCATCCTTTGTCTCACTCGCCCTTGATACGTTTGTACAAATCGGTTTGGACGGGGTTTGGACGAGAGGCAGGAGGTGGCCAATCGTCTCTACAAGACCTTGACGAAGAGGACCCGTACAACTACGGTAGAAAAGCTGGCGCTGCAGCTGCACGAAAAAGCTCAGTTCGACTTCGAGCTACATTTCACCGATCAACCACGCACAGATAGGGACCGGTGTAGAGGGTTGGCATGAAACGTTCGCCAGCAGTCCGGGCGGCGACCAAGTGCTTGAGAGAGGGCTCGGCATTAAACGACATGATGGCGAAGAGAGTCCACCCGCCGGTGTTGTGGAAGAGATTCTCGATGCGCCGTCTATGGCATCCGCCAAAACGCGAGAGGTCGTCCTGGACTTCGTTTAACCCTTACGTAACTACAGGCCGATTCAGCTCCGTTCTCAGCTCCGATCATTTTGCATGCCGAACGATCGACGGTGTGTCTCGCTTAAGAGCAAAAAACATGCATAGAGACCAGCAGGGAGA